AATATGCTTATATTTATGGACTAATAAATGGGTTATGAAAGCTATATCAATCCAATTGTTGATGAAGTTAGTAAAGTTGTTAGCTTTTTCGTGTTAAGGAGGTGCTATGTTTGATATTAAGGTTGTTTTCTTTTTCAGCTTTCTTTTACGGATACGAGGGTTTTTAGTGATCGTTAGAAATCTTGGTTTGATTGAGTGTGTTTGGACTTTAGTGAATTGTTTTTCATTTAAATATGAAGGTGGTAGAATGTTTCATTTAAGATGACCCTTTTAAGTTTTGCTTCTGTTTTAGTATTTACATAAGCAGAGGAGCTGGTTTTTGAGGGAATTCAAAAGGAAATCTAAGTGAAAATTGAAGACTGGGGACATATTGTGAATTGGCATTAATTTACATTATTTTTACTGATTCAGTTTCTAGGATAAGTTGGCTATGTTTCGTTTATGTTTGATTGCTTTGCGTGGACTGTTAATAATGTATCGTTTGGTTTGTTTGTTATTGTTTTGTGTGCCATTCTTTGCTGCCAATCTAAACTCAGAGTTCTGTTTATGAAATAGGAGCTACAATCTTGGACCGCTTTCTCATATACTGATGGTGGAGGAGACAGTAGCTGAAGCCATTGAGGCTAACCTGGAGAGAGCTGACTCAGCTACTGAGGACATGGATATGGTGGAGGATGTGGCAGAAAATGGGGCAAAGCGAGCTCGAGAGGGAGAGGAGGAGGAAAACGAAGATGTATTGAAGAAGCAGAAGGTGGATAAGGCTGGGGAGGAAGGGCGGTTGGAGAAGATTGAAGAAGAGGGAAAGGCAGAGGGAGAGGGGGGGAGAGAGGAGAAGGAAGAAAAGAAGGAAGAGGAGGAGAAGTCTGGACCGGTCAGCTTGGGTCCTAAGAGTTTTGGATCAGCGGTGGAGATGTTTGATTATTTCTACAATTTCCTCCATCAGTGGCCTCCCAATATTAAAGTCAACAAGTATGAGCACATGATGCTGGTGGACTTGCTTAAGACTGGTCACTCAGAGCCTGACAAAAAGATTGGTAGTGGCATCCAAGCTTTCCAAGTTCGGTTTCATCCAAGGTTTAAGAGTCGGTGCTTCTTCCTAATTAGGGATGATGACACTGTTGATGATTTCAGCTTTAGGAAGTGTGTGGATCACATACTTCCGCTGCCCGAGAACTTGAAAGTAAAATCTGACAACTTTCTAGGTGGAGGTAAGGGTCACGGAGGGAAAGGTGGTCCTGGTGGAAGAGGTGGACGAGGCCGTGGCCGTGGTTATGGAAGAGGTGGTAGATCAAGGAACTGATGAATCATAGAAGACAATTGAGGATCACATGCTTTTTTTTCTTATTGTTTAGCTAAGCTATTCTCTCTGATCCAAGTTTTGACTGTTAAATTCTTATTGTTTAATGCCTTTTTATGTGGCCGAAGACATCGTCTGTTTTTGCCGCTTCATTGTATTTCTTGTCTGAGCTGTTGCTTTTGCTCTGCTGTTTTCTTTTATCTCTTTCCTTACCTTTTGTGCGTGGGTGGTGTTGGGGGGTTGTCATGTTCTGATCTATCAATCTCTGAAAAGGAGTAATATGTTGCGGACATGGCAAACTGCAGTTTAAAACATATACATGAAGAAGGGCAAACTATATATCCAGTTGCTGCTGCTGCTACTATCCAAAGAAATAAATAGAAATACAAAAATAAAAAAGAAGTTTTTTTGCTTAGGGGCAATTCTTTGAAAGCAGGCATAAAGTGGCAACTTCAGTTTCTTGGGATCATGGAACTTGAAAACGCACAATAGTTCATCAAATTTTAGTTGCAAAATATGAGCATGATCCAAAATGTACAAATTAAAGACTAAAAAAAGTAGTTTCTTTAACAGAAACGCCTTGTCTGTTTTGGTTAGATCATAGATTGGTAAAATTGCAAGAATTTTTAAGTTAGGGATTGATTTATTTTGAATAAAAAACCCAATTCACAGTAGATAAACTGGTTAATTTGCTATTAGCCCAGAAGAATGAAGGCGAAGGACATATTTACCCGAGAGTATCAAATGATTCTCATCTAGGTCCTCAATAATTCTCAATTGTATCCCCCACCTATCACCACCTCACACATTAACCGAAGTAACTTGTCATTAAAATATATGGAAAAAAATGACATCGTTTAAAAGCAAATAGGTGCACAATTTTTAAGTTTAAAGGGAAAAATTCTTAAGATGCGGATTAATTAGAAAGAGAGATGCTCAAAAACCTTGTTTCCAATTCCAAAATATACCCAAGAGATTTATGATGCTAGAATAATAATTGTCAAATCCAATTTGATATTTGAATAGAAAAAAGCTCAAGACACTTTTTTGGTGTCAACCTGACCAGATTTGGATTAGAAATAGATGTATTAATTGATTTATAAGTCAACACTTCGAATTAATTGAGTTTAACTAGGTTAATATTTTTTTTATTTAAATTAAAATTTAATCTGTATCAATCTCTAAATCACAAATTTCATGAGCTAACTTGTTGGACGTTGCTAGATTTAACAAGAATCTTTGATGATGCCAACTTTATTACATTTTGTGTGTTATGACTCACTCTGCACATACCTTGTCTCCCAAGATTTCTAGTTTGAAGACATTTTAAAAGAAGAATTGATGGTGGTGAAGGGATTCTACAAAATGAAAACATACCAAGGAAAAGATGATGTGAAGTAAGTCGATTTGCAACGGAGACTAAGTTGATTTGCAAAAGAGACCCTGGAAACTTGTACTGTCAAATTCTCAATATGACTACTTGGAATCTCAATAAAATCTCTTCATATTTATCCTCCTCTGAAGATTATCAAATTGTAAATGGGAAAACTCACAAATGGCTAGCAAAACAGTAGAAGGACATAAACTAATATAATTAATGCAATATCATTCACTAATTATTAGCAGCAAACTCAGGGACATCACTGCTGACTAGCCTTCCCATTTCCACCTGCCCCAGCTGCTTGTCCCGCATCTCCACCAGCCTCAGCTTGCTGGGCACCCGGTCTAGCACTCTCATTGGCAGCCTGCAGAACACGATGAATAAGGATCAGTACCGGCAATTTAGAATATATGATGTGAATTTGCAGAGGAACGTACCCTTTCCATGATCAAGTTTAGGACTCTGCTTTCTTCTTCATCAACAAACCAGCAATTAATTATATCACCAGCAACAAAGCCATTACCTGTAACAATCATACTCCAACCACTCGTGCACAGTGACATTGTTATATTACCGGACTTGAAGATCACAGGTTCTGATAAAGCTGGTGTATGCAGTATGGTCTTAACTACTTGATCTTTAAAGCCCTGTAGATAGTCCTTTGAAGCTTGTCCCATAAGAGTTAAGCCATACTTGATATCTGAAGCAGTTAAAATCTTCGTAAACAAATGATGCAGCTGACCTTCTGGGTAATTTTTAATGAGATTTGGCACTGGTTTTGCCATGTTCTTCTAAATTCCAAGTCTTTGAAAGATGGCAAATGGGCAACACGATATTGTAGTGCTTGTAGGAATTAATTCTATGGAGGAATAAAAATCTACTTGAGCATTTCCATGTACAAACTAATTGATAGGGCAAATAAAACTCATGAGTCATGCATAATATATGTAAAAATAAAATAAAATAAAATTCATATGATTTAATGCTCATCCACTCAAACTATGCTACCATGATCACAATTAATTTGTGAGTTGTGAAATACTAGATTAATTTCCAATGGTTTAAATCTTGTATCTAGGTTGATGGAGCTCTAATAGAAATTAGATAGTGCATACAAAATTAACACAAAAAACTAAGAAAGCTTGTAGTTTTACTCTTTAAGATTTATTGTTCATGCTCTCACAAAAAATCTGTTTACATTTTTCCCTTTTTACATTATGGTCCCTCAAGTTTAATTTTTTTTCAATTAGATCACTATACTTTTTTTATTTTCATATGCATCATTCAAAGTTGAGTTTTTTCCGTTTTGTGTGCTTGAATATGTTTTCTTTTTTTTAAAAAAAAAAAATGCTTTCTTGATTTGTATTTAAAATTTATTATTTAAACTCTAAAAAAAAAAACTCATGCACACAGGCCTTTCAACCTAACCCTATATGCTTGATTTTATTTTGTTTTCATAAAATGGAAAATAAGTTATTGCTTCTTATTTTTTTTTTAAGAAAATATAACAAATCAGGAGTGTATTTTATACTATAACCTAAATTCCAACCATCAAAAACAAGAAAAATGTATTTTTTTGAATGAAAATACATTTTTAATCTCTTTTTACATTAAAACACTATAAAATCCTTTTTAATTCTACTATCAACCTCAAAACACTTTAAAAACCAAAATTAATAGGGAAAAAAAATCAAAATAGACACCAAACTCATTTTTTTTAAATACTGAGAGAAACAATTATTACTATCAAGCTTTTCTCTTCAAATAAAACCTATTGACATTAAAAACAATAAATTTCATCATCAAAAAATAGTCAAATCAATGATTTTTACTCTCTTCATTGTTTTTAAGTGATAGAAAAATAAATGAAATCAACTTTTAGATCAAAATAAGAATTCTTGAGAATTTAGGATTGGACATATTTTTTCTTCTTGTTCTCTAGTTAAGTCCACTTTCTTTCAAGTGAGGATGTTTACCATAATTTCAAGCTAAATTTCATCTATTTAGCCACTAAAAGGATCCAATTGAAACAAAAAAACCTAAAACCTAAAAAGAAAACGTTGAGAATGAAGCTCCATCATAAAACCGTAATCTTTTAGTGTTATTTATAATATAATTATAATTATCATACCATCCAAGCATTCGATTTGGATGGATTTAAAAATATTAAAGTCACTAATGAAATCTGTAAAGCAAAAACAATATACTGGAAATATTCCTATAAAGATTGCAAGCAGAACCCAGAAAGTCTACCCTTCCAAAGTTTCAATCAAATCCGACTGAATCTAAATTAATTTTCTACAGAAACCATAAATTATCACTAAGTTATACGTAAATCGATCAGAATCGGGTTCTGCAGGCTGCCTTAGTAGCAACAAGTGCTCCTTAGCCTCTGGGAGTGGCATGCAAGACATCAGCAAGCCTTAGTAGAAGGACATAAACTAATATAATCAATGCAATATCGTTCACTAATTATCTGCAAGCTCAGGGACGTCACTGCTGACCACCCTTCCCATTTCCACCCGCCCCGGCTGCTTGTCCGGCATCTCCACCAGCCTCAGCTTGCTGGGCAGCTGGTCCAGCACTCTCATTGGCAGCCTGCAGAACACGACGAATGAGGATTGGTACTGATAATTTAGAAGTGATGAGAATTTGCAGAGGAACGTACCCTTTCCATGATCAAGTTTAGGACTCTGCTTTCTTCATCATAAGCAAACCAGCAATTAATTATATCACCAGCAACAAAGCCATTACCTCTAACAATCACACCCCAACCACTCCGGCATAGTGACATCATCCTATCACAGGACTTGAAGAACACAGGTTGGGATAAAGCTGGTGTATGAAGTATGGTCTTAACTCTTTGATCTTTACAGCCCTGTAGATAGTCCTTTGAAGCTTGTCCCATGAGTATTAAGCCATACTTGATATCTGAAGCAGTTAATATTTTCGTAAACAAATAATGCAGTTGACCTTCTGGGTAATTTTTAATGAGATTTGGCACTGGTTTTGCCATCTTCTTCTAAATTCCAAGTCTTTGAAAGATGGCAAATTGGCAACACAATATTGTAGTGCTTGTAGGAGTTAATTCTATGGAGGAATAAAAACCTACTTGAGCATTTCCATGTACAAACTAATTGATAGGGCAAATAATACTCATGAGACATGCATATTATATGTAAAATAAAAATTTCATATGATTTAAGGCTCATCTACTCAAAGGATGCTACTATGATCACAATTAATTTGTGACGAGACATTATCCAGCTAGACAAACTAGATGTTGCTCCCTCTTGGTTTATAAATGTTTTTTTTGGCATCTCGACTCGACACACTAGTTTAGGCTTTCGAGGCCCAATGTGTTTAGATTATCAAATTTTTAAAATTTTCTATTTATTTACTTTATTATATAATAAAATGCTTTCTAATTAGGATTATTACAATATAATTTAAAGAAAATTTGATATTCTTAGGGTAATATTGTCAATTAGTTTATAATTTCCTTTTTATCTAAATCTAATATGCATATCTTTTTTTTTAATATAATTTTTCATAATGTTTTTATTAATTTTTAATATAATTTTTTGAAATTAAACATTGTTTTATTTTTGTATTGCCTAGTCATAATTATAACAGGATGGTTTTTTTTTTTTTTCGATTGAGATTTACATTTTGTATAGTTCCAAGTTTTTAGTTAGAAAACCATTATTCTAATAAAAAAGATTATTGAGTATCACAATTTGTTTCTTCTAACATGTTGGAATATATTGTTCTTTCAAGAAACTTATTGATAGATTAAAAATTTTCAGATTCGTATCATAAATTTTCAGATTCATAATGATACGAATTTGAATGTAGCTATACCTCTCCGGAGTAAGCTTAAATAGTATTTGATATTGTATTGATTATTTTTTAAAATATTTTTTATTTAAAAATATAATTAAAATAATATTTTTATTTTTATTTTTTAAAATTTATTTTTAACATCAATATATTAAAATAATTCAAAAAAAATTAAAAAGATTAAATAAAAAAATTAAAATTTAAACAAAATATTTTTTAGCCAGGTTACCAAGCCCGCCTAAATCTCTACTTCCTCCATAAACACACCAGCAAAAGAATTATACCACCAGCGATTAAGTTGTTAGTTGTCATTACAGCAACCCCATTTAATTTTCCTTTAACATTGATGTGGCAACCCCGCCAGCCGGAAATGTAACCTAGACAGGGCTTGTTTTTAAACTAGATTGAAGGTTTAACAGTTAAATTTGAATGATCCGACCAAACCCAAGCAAGGCCTTACTCCGAAACATCATTTTAGTTTTTCTTTATAAAAAAAGTAAGTAAACAACCTGTCATTTTTTTTTAGTTGACTTCACCGACCCGCGATGAGCCAAGAATGATAACTATGATCCTGAGGCGTCGGCATGAACAGCACATGAGCGGTTATAGCTGGTGTAGACAATTTTGGTCTCAACATTTTGATCTTGAAACCCTTGTAGATGAGACTTTGAATCCGGTCCCATAAGTGTGAAGCCCTGTGTTGTATCCAGTTAATGTTTTCAGAAACAAATAATGCAGTTGACCTTCTTGTGGATAATTCTGAATGAGTCCCAGCACAGGAAATTCTTGATCTGGATTTGCCATCTAATGCTATTCGTTGATTTTGACTGATCACAGAGAAATGTGCCTGCTTAATTAATTGAACAATCGTGTTCTTTCATTGAAACTAGCGATGCCATTCAATGTTAATCCACTCATATGATCACAACCAATGCATGAGAAATTAGAATAATCATGCTGTTCATAATGTTCAACAACTTGTGCCACAAAGATTTTTATGCAATTCTTTCATTTTCGTCTAAGAGACTCACAATACTCTTGTCACTGATATCAAACCATCTGATCTCTACTAATAGACTCCCTGACACACCAGTATCATTTCTAAGCCATGGTTTCGAGTATGGAGAATAGATTCCATCATCTACATATGAGGTAACAACAACGAGGTTAATTCAAACCATAAATATCATGCACGCATATGAACGAAAATGGATCTGTAAATTGTTCGAAAAAACTTCGAGATGCAATTTCTTGTTAACGTGCAAATAAAACAATATAGAAATTAGTAGTATATGCAACCATGAGATAAAATTAAAAAATTGAACAATAAAAGGAATCATATGCTAGGATGCAAAGACCAAAGCAAGTCATTGGTTTTCCTTTTCTTTCTTTCTATTACCGGCACTAAATCTCAAATTTGACAACAGTACAATGAAAAATAAAAAAAAACAGGTGACCCACCAAATCTCACTTACAGGGTAAAGCAGCAAATATGACATTATTCTTGAGGGTGGAGCAGCTAGAGGCAGTCGGCACATACAAAAGAAAGCAGCACTAGCACATTTGAAGATTTTTGCATTTTTCATCTCTGCCTTCCGATCACAGCCTTCCCAGGTAAAGTCAACACGACTACTTGATTTCACTGCTGCGAGCTATTAGCAGCAAAACTAATCATGTTCTGAAATGGTACATGCTTGTCATTTGTAGCTCAAATTTACCTTTCAATAACACGTCGGCTATTTCTAAATTCACCAGGATCTTTGTCCATATTGTATTCTTGCGACCTTCCTCCTTGCTGTTTTCTAAATCCTTCTCGTTTTGGTCCATTAAAATTCCGTGAATCACCACCTGCATTATCCATTTTCCACCCAGAATGGTCATTGCTTCGAAATCCTCTGTTTTTACCATGAGGACCCGGTGATGATCTATCAAAATCATCCCTCCAAGACTTTCTTCTGTCACCACCTCCATCATCCATTTTCCACCCAGAACGGTCATTGCCTCGAAATCCTCTGTTTTTACCATGAGGACCTGGTGATGATCTCTTAAAATCATCCCTCCAAGACTTTCTTCTGTCACCACCTGCATCATCCATGTTCCACCTAGAACGGTCATTGCCTCGAAATCCTCTGTTTTTACCATGAGGACCTGGTGATGATCTCTTAAAATCATCACTCCAAGACTTTCTTCTGTCACCACCTCCATCATCCATTTTCCACCCAGAACGGTCATTGCCTCGAAATCCTCTATTTTTACCATGGGGACCAGGTGATGATCTATCAAAATCATCACCCCAAGACTTTCTTCTATCACCTATCTTACCATTCGTTCTCATCTCATTGTCTCTCACAAATTTATTATCACAATCCCTAAAATTGTTATCTCTTCTACCAAATCCAGTTTTGTTACCTCCTGACTTATTTCCCCAGGAATGCCGATCA